GCAAAAACGATTGTTGATGCTGCACGAGTATCGTTTGGGTTAAAGTGCAGTGAGAGAAATTTCCGAACTCTTTCGTTTTGTTCAACTTTATCTCTTTTTTCCAAAAAATATAAAAAACAAATGAAAAAGTCGAAGTATCCCCCTCCAATTTCAATTACTTCCTCCCATTTTCTGGCAATTTTATGATTACGCGGCGGTGAAACTCGGTGCCTATCGAATCAAAAAGTGTGAGTCGTCAACTACGGAGACGTTTCAGTTTCATTCAAAACAGCTTACGGCTCTTTTTTTTGTCGGCAGCCGGCTTTTTGCTTGTGCGTCAAATCTACATTCCCAAAACTGAAACTACTGGAACGACTAAAAACTACACTTCTTCCAACCGTTCCATCACCTCAGGCCTCGTTGATGCCGCAGAGAGTCTCAGCAGCACTGGAACTCAAACGATACTCGTGGAACATCAGCAATCGTTTTTGCTTTCGGCACAATTCCACCTTAGAACAAAGGTATAGGTGCTACATATAAAAATGGTGTGGAAAGAGCGATGCGCAAAATAGGCGCCAGTAGTGTAACGGATAGATCACGCGCTCCCGGAATGAGTGAGGTGCGGGTTCTAGTCCCGCATAACGCGAAAGTTTTGCACATCACTCTACATCAATGGGTATATATAAAAATAGCCGAAAGAAGCAAAAAACGAAGAAGTCCGGAAAATTTCTCGCAACCCAATAATAAAATGATGCCATTATAAAGTTGTTATTTTTTCTATTGTTGTCGAAGTTATTGTGCTTACACGATAGCACTTCATCACTTTATTTGACCCGTCATCACAGTGCTCTTTTTTCACTGCGCTTATCCCAGTACTACTAGCATTCAATCCGTTTTTCGTCTTCATCTTGAGCGACGTAGAATACTGGTTGAGCAAGTCTTCATGCGATCTCGTGAATAACATTGCTGTGGAGTTCCATAGAACGTTTCTGTTAAATGCCGTAGAGAGGTGGGGTGAAGCTCGGCTCCACGCACCCCGAGACAAGCATCACACCCACTCGGCTACGGCGCTCCTCTTATGGTCACTATTAGTATGTTTGTCAAAATCATTGAGATCCCATCACCAAATTATTACCGATATTATAAAGTTTTCCGGAGCGTATGTGGCGCAGTTAGAGGTGTTCGGCGTCGCAAGTCAACTATCCCTTCCGGATCGGTAAACTGGTACCGGACTGGCCGCAGACTTGTCTGGGAGGATAAGCAGAACTGACACTGATACACTGTTGGGCCACCGCGAATACCGGTAAGGGCCAAATGTGCATTCAATCACCTCGAACGAAACTAAAAATTGAAGACGAATACGTGGCACATCCTCTAGAATTGATTAATGCCGAAAGCCTTAATCCCTGTCCTTCATCATAAAGTATTGCAGTAAGACGTGTACAACTGATTTCAGTCATCGTTATAGTTGCCTCCTACGACTCTGAAGTTTCATGGAGAATTTTGTTCCTTATCAGTCACCTTGTTCTACAGTAAAGTAATTTTGTATGTAATATTCAATAATATTGAGCAGTGTGTAGGATCTTAAACGTTGGGGGGGATTCGAACTCACATCCACCTTTCCCGAGCACGTGAGCTAGCCACTGCACCACCGAGATAATTATACATAATTGATAAAGATAAAGCTCTTGGCGGCGCTGATCACTCCCTGAAGGATGCGTCATACAATTGTTTTCAATTTTCAACTTTGTTTGAGGTGATTGAATGCATATGTGGCCGTTACAGTGACTCGCGGTGGCCTCCCGCTGAACCAAGACAGTGCTTCTTATCCTCTCAGACAAGTCTGAGACCAGTCTGTTACCAATATACCGACTCCAAAGGGATGGATCGCTTGGTGATTTATGTGCGCCAGATCAAACCATTGACCTCGTGAGCGACGGAGAGCACTCCTCACCACTGTGCCACATGCGCTCTATTTTATCATTATGAGCTCTATCTCATCCTTCTTGAACTCAATCACCTCTTTGACCCTTTCGGAACGTGGCAGCGCATCAAATGTATCACTGTTTTATTTCATAATACCTTCATATTCGACTGTTTTTTTTTCAGACCTTGCTCAAGACAATATGATCTGCCAATTTTTTTTGAGCCTTTCATGCGATCTTTTCCAGGCACTTATGCAGTTCAATGCAGGTGTTTCGGTCATGTTGCCTCGTCAGTTGCACGGTGCCTTTCATCTAAGCCAATCCCTTTTGGGGGAGAATCCCCCTTATTAGAGAAATTGCCGGCGAACATATTACAATGCCTCGTGTGAAGTGAAAACTCACGTCACACACGGCAGAAATAAATATATCCAGCGACGTGATACTTTTGATAATGTCTTTATATTCAACTGTTTTTCCAGGCCTCGCTCAAGATATACTAATATGACTATTTATTTTTTCGAGCCTTTCAATTTTGAGCATTGCACTGTAAAAGCCCATAAAAGAGCTTTCGGAAGGCTCAGAAAAAATACATTGAAATAGTAAAATAATACATTCGATGCTTTCCTGCGCTGGAAGTCAGGTATGCAGAAGACGTAGATTAGACCGCCTAGCGTGGCCACGCTGGGGCCTAGAGATGCGGTGTGGGGGGGTCCACGTTCCCGAAAGGGTTGATTGTGGTAGTTAGCATTTGAGCCATATCAACCGATCTCAGTAGTTCACATCTTCAATAATTTGTACTTTGATTTATTCGAATTTCAGTACCGATCGTGATTGAAAGTTTTCAGAATGCTATCGTGGGATCTGCTGCCGTTCCAATTATGGCGTCTTATGGCGTCTGTCTAAGCACGCCCATCTACGCTAGGGAACACTACGTGCCATGGTAATTTTGTTTTCTTTGATACTACTTGGTCTCTTTTCGCTAGATGGGAGTGAATGAAAAACCGACCTTTTTTGTAGGACGATTATTTTCATAAAAGTGCTAGTAATTAATTCAAAGCCTAAATCTCGGCTTACTGCGCTATTTGTTTCTGATTTAGGGAAAAATCGGTACTCTTCGGTTAGTGGGAGACAAATGAAAAACCGACCTAATCCGCTATACAAAAGCTTTTCATAGGAGTGTTAACAGTCGTTCGATAGCGTAGTCTTTGCAAATTTAAACGCTGCGCATATATCTTGAGAAGACCGTTTCTCTGCAGCGCAGCAGGTAAAACACGTTGAATTCGCAAGTGCGACCAAAGTAGTCTTTGGTCATTTCACCTGCCACTGGGTAAGACGGCACATGCGCCGATGCGATGTTGTACCCGTCCACGATCAGTTGATGGATCATCGCGTTAACGCACGTGGCTGCCTTACACAGTGGCACACGAAATGGCCAAAGACTACGTTACTCGCACATGCCAATTCAACATGTGTTACATGGTATGCTGCAGAGAAACGGTCTTTCCAGGATATAAGCCCAGCATTGGAGCCAGGAGACATTGCACTATCGAATGATTACTGTTTTACCAAAAAACTACTCTATTCGTAAAGGATGCGCGTCTGAAGCCGGTTTTATTCTTAATGTTACAGCGTTACGAATGGGCGTTCGAAAAACCGGCCGCTGTAGCCAGAAATCTCAGCTACTGCATGTTTGGTAATACTTCTGTGAACAGTTCCTCTCCAGTGAGATAGATCGATTTTTCATTTACTTCCCCTTCTCCCATTTCCTATGATAAAGAAGTAGCAAGAGAATCTTCATAAAACGCTATTTCCATACACGCGCATTTTTCTCGCAGTATAAGACTCATTAGACTCATAGCATTTATACGATGGCATCAACTTCGACGATTCAATCGCTACGCTTAATTTTGGAAAAGACCGTCTCAATGCAGCATGCCAAGGTAAATAAGACTGCGCTTTATGCACGCCGCACATTTGCTTTGTGCATAGCCGTAGATCGCTACGCAGTCAATCGATCGCCCAGGTCAGACTTAGGTGTGGACTTTTGAGTTCGAATTTTTTCTCCGATTTGGCCGAAATCTAGGTGAACTATAAGTCTGTGATACTCGAACGTCTCCTCCACACGCTCATATGTATTTTGTGCCTCCAGTGAAATATAAGCGCATGATGAGTGTGAAACATAATTTGATTTTGAATCCTGCAGCGCTATAAAAATACCTTTTTAGAACACGAGCGCGACAGCACTGCCCCAAGATTTAAGCTTTCAAATGATTTCAAACACTCTTATAAAAAGCTATCGCCTAGCAAACCGAACCACGTCATTATATTTTCCGTCCTATGGTAATATACCAAATATTTTTCATTTTAATCCATCATTTCACTGCTTCTCAACAGTGGTGTACTATTACAAATATACACCTAAGAATGTTGAGTGATATGCGAAACATTTGGCCCCAAGCAGGAGTTGAATCCGCGTTTCACTTAAGCAGGGGCGTGTGCTATCACTGTACCGCCGGAGCTTTCGCTTCGCTACCACCCTACCTCAGAGTAAGCTATCGTAGCTGTAAGCTACTAATCTTCGTGTGGTTTGACCAGGTAAGGACATATCAGCTTAAAACCTAGTTAAGCTGACAGCTATTTGAAGCGATTAATCTGATTGAATCTCTAACCTTTTATTCGCTTTTCTGTGTTTCTAATGTTTTTCTACTTGCTCATACTATGTCGATGAGACTCTTACCGCACTACTACAGAAATCACCGTCTTCTCCGCATTATGCACGGTGAGGCTGTCGTCGAACAAGCCTGCCAGGTTCGTTGTTCAATATGGGCCTTGTTGGTTCTTCACTTGATGTTGTTCTACTTATTTCGATTTTATACTTGTCCACTGTCCTATAGAGACCGCTTGTGAGATATCGGTTATTCCAGCATTACGACTGGTTGAATTCCCTTTCATTCATCACATTATTGAAGAAAATGCAACAAAAACCGCACAACTATTTTGCTATAGTAGACATCTGTAAACTCGCTATGGTGCTGGAAACTTTTGGATTCGATGATCATGAGGAACGGTCAAATGCTACCTACTGAACTATGGTAGAACGTCAGACGGGATTCGAACTCGTGTCTCACCCTCTCCGAGAACGCAAGCTAACCACTGCACCACCGACATGACTGCACGTACAACTCATACCTATCACCTTCACTGGGCTCAATGGCGATAGCAACTTGCCAGACCAAACCAGTGGCAGTTGGTTGTTGACAGATTGATGCCTTTCGTCACAATAAGAGTGATGGTAGAACAGGAGCGTCATATGGAATGATTAGCCAGCGCCCCTGAGAGAGTGAAATGCGGATTCAGGTCCCGTCCGACGTCTGGAGTTCTGCATATCTCTTAACAATAAATGGACAATGCTCTTGGCGTTGATTAATTTTTGAAGGATGGGAGACCTGTCTTATCCTTCCAGACAAGCCTGGTACCAATTCGCTGACTCTTGAGGATCGAAGGCTTGATGGGCTATGAGCGCGAATCGAACCATCAATCTTGTGTGCGAAGCAGCGCACCCACTACCACCATTCCACGTATGCTTCTCGCCTGACATTATCAAATATATATTCCTAACATCGTACCGCCGTTCAAAACTACAATGGGCGCTACCAAAGCGGTGGTTTTTGCAGTGAAGAGATAACACGAGCCCGGTTGAGGTGGAACATAGTGTATACCACTGAGCACTCTTAAGTGTATATCTAAAACATTATAAAACTGATATTAAAGGTGTATCATGACTAGTTATGTGGAGTGGTGTGCAAAAACATTTGCGTCAGCTGGAATTCGACCCCAGATCTGCTCTTTCCGGGAGCATATGCTAAACCGATGCACCACCGACGCACCCATTGTATAGCATACACTACCGGATAGAGTGAGATCTGGGATTGAATCCCGACTGACGCAAATGTTTTCGCGCATCACTCCACATTATTGGTTATATCAAACATCATACCACCGCAAGAGGCGGCAAATAAATGAATTTCGATTGATTATATCATAGCTTTCATTTCGAGTGTTTTCTTAAGACCACGCTCAAATCTCAGTGTATATCATAATTATTATTTGAGACAACATCTCATGTGGTCTGATATAGTATAAACTTATAGAACTCGATAAACTCGATACACGTGTTTTTTCCTTGACTTTCTCATTAGTCGAGCAGTACTTTTCGTCTTTTGCCAATCCTTTCGGGGCGCTCCGCTCCACTACACAAGAGTGGACGATGACGAACATTTTACACCATTTGGTGAAATTATCAATGAATTGGCAGTGTTATACACTCGGCTGCTCTTGGATGGTATCGTTAATATATCATACCTTTCGTTTCGAGTGTTTTTTAAGACCAACTCAAGGATTTGTACAACACTGCCCATTCAGATAATTTCACCTAACAGATGCTATAAAATGTTGACCGTCGCCTACTTTTAGGTAGGGGAGTGGAACCCCCCGAGAGGATTGGCAAAAGACGAAGGGTACCGCCCGACTGATGAGACCGTCAAGGTTGAAACACGTGTATCGAGTTCTATAAGTTTGTCCTATAACAGACCACATGACATGTTGACTAGAATAGTAATTATGAGATGTACTGAAATTTGAGCGTGGTTTTGAGAAAACTCTCGAAACGAAGTTATGATATAATCAATCGAAATTCATTTATTTGACAGCCTTTTGCGGTGGTATGATGTTACAACATACTCAATAATGTGGAGTGCTGTTCAAAAGCATTTGCGGCAGTCGGATTCGATCCCAGATCTCACCTTTTCTAGCAGCGTATGCTAAACGACGGCGCGTCGGTGGTGCAACGGTTTAGCATACGCTCCCGGAAAGAGCGAGATCTGAGTTCGAATCCCGGTTGACGCAAATGTTTTTGCACAGCACTCCACATTATTATTTATGACATACTTTTAATATCTGTTTTATAATGTTGTAGATATACACTTAAGAATACCTAGTGATATAGAAACCACTCCCACCACAGCCGGGAATGAAAGCCCATGTCTCAACTAAACCGGGCTCGTGTTATCTCTTCACTGCATAAACCACCGCTTTGGTAGCGCCCTTGTAGATTTTAACGGCGGTGCGATGTTAGGAATATATATTTGATAGTGTTAGGCGAGAAGCATACGTGGAATGGTGGTAGTGGGTGCTCTGCCTTGCACACAAGATCGATCGTTCGATTCGCGCTCATAGCCCATCAAGCCTTCGATCCTCAAGATTCGGCGAAGTGCTACCAGGCTTGTCTGGAAGGATAACACAGGTCTCCCATCGCTCAGGGATTATCAACGCCAAGAACCTTATCGTTTTATCGTTAAGAGATATGCAGAACTCCTACGTCGGGCGGAACCCAAACTCGCATTTCACCCTCTCAGGGGCGCTGGCTTCGAGTCAGTGCTGCTTATCATCCCAGCAAGTCTGATACCAACTTACCTATCCGGAGGAACGGATGGCTTGGTGAGCACGAGCGCGAGATCGAAGCGTCGACTTTGTGTGCGACGCAGAGCACTCCTAACTGCTGTGCCATATGCGCTTTTTTGTGCAGCATATATTTGAAAATTATGAAAGCGTGACGAAATCAAAGTGGCTTTATGCTATCATCTACAACGTATGCGATTAAATGCGATTTTATTTGATAGATCAATTCAAAATTCAACTTTTAATCTTTCCATAACATGTACAGTTTTAACTCATATGATCCCCTGAATTGATTTTTCAAAGCGTCTGTTTGGAGTCGCTTCGTATCGTATCTTCGTAGCTTCGTATCTTTTGAGCCCTTTTTTATTATGCGCACCGGTTCTTTTTGATTAAGAAGAGCAACATTCAAAATAAAATCACTTCCATAAAGTCACTTGTTTTTTTCTCTTATCTCGCTTATACTTCGCTGAAAAAACTCCTTCCTCAGATTGACGGTGCTGAAACTATGGCACACGTTTCAATGAACTCAAAAACGTATTTGCTTCTAAAAAACCCCTTTTGACCTTCCAGTCCCCTCTGGTATTTCGATTTGTGCTTTAAACCTCGTGGGACAGAGCTCTTTCTTCAGATTCTTAAGAATCATCTGATGGCGTTATGTTTTGTGACTTTATCTATGTGCTTATTTTCTAAAAATATGGTTGAGTAGAAAAAATAAAATCAAGTTTTTTATCTTTGGTAGAATTGTTTACGCTATTCGACAAGGTGAGGGCCGTGGCAGGGAGCGTGGCAGAGTAGGGGCGAAACACGGCGATCGATATCTTGTTTTTGATTAGAAATTTTTTCTCCGTTTTGAATCAAACTCTAGATGAAATGATTAATCAAGACACTACGAAAGCTTCTCTACACATTGATATGCTTTTCGACCTCCAGTGAGCTATACGCGTGGTAAAAATAAAGGCGAAAGGCGAGTACCAAGCATAACATATGATCTGGATGCTACGACGTTACAAAGGGATGTCTTGAATGACCGGCGAGGTGTGGCTGTAGCTTCACGTCTCAGCTTTTGGTTGGTAGCTATCGCTCCGTTAAAAAATCCTTTCTAGCGAATGGGATTGATAATCATTTGTTACTCCCTCACCCGTCCCCATTTACCCCCCTTCTCCCCCCTCAATCAAAAAGACCGTGAACCTAGAACAGGTGGCGATCTCAAGTGGATGAATTATAGCTTCAAACCGTTTATTCATAAATATATCGATGCTAAACTCTCGTGACGAACACAGAAGGTGAACGGTTGATCGTGAAAGGGTTGCTGCAATCATTTGTTGGCAATGGCTGCTAATTTATCAGACTCTCATTCCATCTTCTAATCTTCAAGTAATTCTCGATTTCAGTCAGCAATTTATGACAGAAAGCTTAAAAAAGCGCAAAGTCGACGATCGACCATCATAAGGTTCTCTAATTTTCAACTTATAGGAGAACCAGTGGAGTTTATGAATATCGCACAAGCACTAACACGAGTAGAACCATTATTTGTAATGAAGAACCTTTTTTTTTCTTTCATATTCAGCCCTATAAGAAAAGCTCATAGTTAGTCTGAAAGTCCATCATTTTTACAAAAATTATGCATTTTTCAATTTTCTTATACCTTTAATCGTGATCTCTTATTTTATGAAGAAACGTGGCCAATGTTTTGAGCAAACTTAGTTGTGAAGAACTGTCACAGGAACGCTTTGCTGAATTAAATTTTGAGTTTTTACTGACAGAGTTTGCAGTTTTGAATGCAGAGTATCAAGTAGCGTGATACGATCAAATATTCTTCTGTGCTTACAGCTATCTTCGTTTGCATATAATTGTATATTTCCACTTGATGATTATCAACACATTACGGGCCGTCGATTATAGCTTGCATCAAAGCGCTGTATTCACCTGCTCTAGAACTAGTAAGATTTTTTCTGTTATCCGAAAAAAAGTTGAGCTTATCATGCTTATTGAATTGCCGTTGCAGTGTTTGATTCTCAGCAAAGAAAGAAACAGCGAAAAACAATTTCGAGCTGAGAAACTACTAAGTTGATTGGCGTTTCCAAAGGACCGTAGTCTTCCATAGATGGTATAGTGTACATGATTTCCAAAACACGTTAAGATAACGCTAGCTGAGCCTCTAATTGTTTCTTCAAATATTTCGTTATACGACCGAATGGTCAATGATTTCGGTCATGGGGAAAAAGGCATGTGGTTCAATCTCCTTCCGGGACCTTTCACAGCAAGATCGGGGTGTGATTTCTCGGTATCGTTTAATATTGAAAGTTATTTTATGGAGGTGACTACTATTACAAAAAAAGCCTCTGTTGCCTTTGTTTTTTGATACGAAACGTATATCAGTGGGACAGCAACGCAAACTACGATGTGCACGTGAAGGCAAATTTAGGTTGTTGCACATTGAATTCAGCATATCTTCGATATCGCTGACAAATCCTTCAGCAATATCTTTTCTATCGTTTGAATAAGTTCCCTTCTCTCCTCTAACACGCAATTGAGCAAATTCGTAAAATTACTGCTAATATAAGGAAAAGTGTAATCAAGATGAAATGAACGCTTCCCGTATATAGTAAAAATAAATGCTCTTTGCGTGCATCAAACACGCTATGTGGCTAGGAAAGGAGAATTCCTCGTATTATGGATCGATGAAAGCCGTACATCATGCCTTGATAGTTGGGAAGAAAAAGCGTTTATTCTGTTTACAAGTGTTCTAGGTGCCGGTTAGATCCATTCCAGCCGTTCCTTTATAGAAACAAAAATTTTGGTATAGTCGTCTGAGCTTAGCAAATTTGCGCACTGATCGCAAAAAGCGAATGTCATCACTCAGTTTCAAACAGTCCCTTTTGTATCTCGAAATAGAGCACCACTACATCGCTTCCAGTCACTCGAAACATCAACGAATCAATCATCTGGAATCATTCAGTATGGCTTAAAATTTTCGTTTACTTATCGCATCATCCTCTGTGGCTCCAAATTCAAATATATCCACATAAAGTCGGTAAAAACGACAGACAATCTACATCTGTTTTCATTGCCTTCAAGTTCTTATCCACTTTTGAAAAGGGCCCGATATGAACGATATATGAAAGCAGAGTTGGAGAAGTAATTTATGAAAACGCTTTTAGAAATACTTAAAAAGATAGAATGACAGAGCGCAAAATACGAGAAAGCGGCGTGGCCGTTTTGGAGTATCCTCCGAGTCATATGTATTGGACTAAATGCATATAGCGCTTGATGAATGGGTTGGTGTACCCCGTATTGTATTGAACGTAACTCGAACTTTCTCGCGAATATGTTGAAAATTTCCATTTGTGATTTACGTCAATGACAAAGAATCTAGGCCTTATAAGCAGAATTAGGTCATAGACTGAAGAAAGTGAAAAAGAGATGCA